CTGGTTTTCTAGGACCAGTGGTGCGAGTTAGCTGGAAGAGCTTGCGGTAATTGCCTACTGCTCCTGCCTTCTCCATTTCTTCAGCCCGAGTGGTGCACCAGGCTTCCTTGTCAGCACGTAGGCTCTGCTTTAGTTCACGCCTAATAGCCCGTCTAGTTACATTTTGTTCAGAGCCAGCCGGGAGGTCTCTTCTAGATTTCAACAGGTTCACCGACCTCTCGGATATCCAGTGACTGGTGCGGTGACGATGGATAGTACCACAAGCAGATGCTCCTGCGTCATGCATGGTGGCCGAGATCCTATTCCACTGAAGCTCAGTGTCATTAGGACAAGACAGTTCGGTACGCAGTGCGTCTTGATCGGCTTGCCTGACCGAGGGTTGAGACAATTCCTCAGTTGCCAATTAGAGGAGACGCTTGGTGCGCCTCCCGGTAAAGTTCCTGGACAAACGACAGCGGACCAAGGCATGATCAGAGTCGACACAGGTACTCCAGTACGAGCGGCAATCCAGGATGGAACCACGCCATCTGTAACTTATGGCTATGTGATCAATTTGGGTCCATCGCTGGCCAGCTACAGGAGGACGCCAAGTGGCACTTCGGCGCCCACTGTGTCTAAAAGCAGTGCTACTAAGAAACAACTGATGCTCCGCACACAGTTGCAGCAGACGCACACCGTTGTCAATCCGTTCGGAGTTAAGCCCACATTTACCACCCAGCTGAGTTCCTGAAAAGCTCAAACGCCCTACTTGTGCGTTCAAATCCCCTGCAAGTACTATAACATATAAACCAGTAGCACTGCGTAGTAGGGCGTTCAGTTCGTCAGAGAATGTATCCTTGACAGCAGTTGGGCCGCAGTCAGTGGGAGCATAAACGGAAATCACAAACAAACAGGGTTTTGTATTACTTCGTGAATCCACCTTAGCTGGTGTGGTCAAACGGGCTGCACATAAACGGCTGTTCACCGGAATTCAATCAACCAACAATGGCTCAGCCTAGGAGCTTAGAATGATACCTACACCAGCTTGACCCGAGAATGCTGCATCGACTTCTCCGGATGCATGCAACCAACAACGAGTGCATAAACCGGGTGCAGTTAATTCAATAACCCCGTTAGGGTTATTGATCCTAGTTTCGGACACACAACACACATCAATACCCAGTGTGTCCAAGGTGTATGCGAGTGCAGCCTATTGACCTGTTTGTCTTAGAGTGCGAACGTTGAATGTCCCCATGGAAACGGGATAGCGTGGCCTTATAAGGGACTTTTGCCGACAGGCGTCCGATAGGTGCGGTGGGATGGTGGCTGCAGATGGTTCTACACTAGTGGCACTTCGGTTGCTGTCAATTAAGCTGGGAATTATAGAAGGAAGATTAGTAGTGGGGGCCGGGATGGGAGTAAGAGAGAAAGGTGGAAAAGAAAAAAGGGAGGCGCCAGCAGTAGCATGTTTCCGCCTATTCGCCCTGCTGTATGCAGCAGATAAGGCGACCGTTCATAATATGCGCGACGGCCGATGCAGGATGAAGTTTATTGTGAAACTTTTGTGTCATTGCTGTTTGTGGGTTGAGATACTGTCAGGGCGCCCAGAATTAGACAGCAGGACGATTACGGTCCTTATCCAAGGCCTTTAGCTCAAAAGCCTGCCCACAAGGCAGCGGAGAGGTGGCGATGATTTAGTTTTACAGAAATGGACGCCATCCCATTTCAAACCCCCAAACCTAGAGGACCATGAGACTGAGTTTGTCTGACTTCTCAACACTGATCAACCTGGTAGAAGTAGCTCTCAAGTTCCCCGGGGGTCTCACCCAGTATCGCTCAATGAGGTACACAAACCGCCGCACCACGATAAGGCCCAGTCACATTACGACGGAATTGTGGCACTACATTCGCGAGTAGGTGACAGCTACTGCCGAGGAGACCATCGGGCACGCAAACTGTAAGCGATCCGAATGTTTTGATGAGGACAATGCGGCGATTGGCGCATTAGTGTCGGAGAAGAATGCAACATTTGCTGCACATGTGACGGACCCCAGTGACTTGGGGAAGAAGAGTCAGCTACGCAAAATTCGACGGCGGCTGACTCGACAGCTCTGTCGAATACATGAACGGAGAAGGCGAAGCAGATGGAATGCTACGTCTAACGCCGCTAACTCAAGGAATTCTTGAAGGCGATGTATGGACCGAGGTTAGAGCCGCTGAGGACGCTGCTCGGTGGTAGTTCAGTCTCTGACTGCACACAAACTGTAGACATAACAATTTGATGGTCTCCTAAACAACCGTTCAGAGATCGACTGGCCTGCACTGAACAGCCTGAAGAAGCATGAAGCGAAGGCGAGTCTGGCGGAGATGCCAAAACTGGGTAAGACGCAGAGAGCGCTTGATCAGCCGCGAAACGACAAGTGCGCCGGTGCCGACGGGATCCGGCCTGATGTATTGAAACATGGCGGACCCGCGTCGGTAGCTGCGCTGCACCAATTGGTGCAACGGGTGTGTATTGAAGAGAAAGTGCCGGCCTACCTGAAGGATGCCTTTGTGCAAGGGCAAAGGAAGCAAGCAATGTTGTACGAATTATTGTGGTATCAACTTGCTGAGTTGTGTGGGGAAAGTGATCGCCCGAATCTTGCTCAACCGCCCCGTCCCTCAGGTCGTTGAACCGCACGTGGCGGGAAAGCAATGTGGATTCCGTTCAAATCGCAGCATCATCGATATGGTGTTTGTGGTTTGTCAGTTGCAGGAGAAGTGCAGAGAACCACACCAGCCGTTGTACTCATTATTTGTTGACTTCACTAAGGCATTTGATATGGCGAACCGCGAGGCATTGTGGCTGATGTTGGGTATGTTTTGTTGTCCGAGTAAATTTGTAATTAAATGTCTGCAGGCGAATGTCTGCGGGCGAAGGTGCAGCTGAATGGAGAGACCACGGATGACTTTCCAGTTGTCTCTGGTGTGAAGCAAGGTTGTGTCTTAGCTCCTGCTCTGTTTAATATTTACCTTCATGCAGATGTCTTGTACTTTTGATACTGTTTGTGATTACCGTGTCCGTGTAGAACGTTGTATTGATGGTGGGTTGCTGAACATCTGTCCTTTCTGGGCGAAAACCCGAGTGTGTGAAACAATTATCCATATGTTGCAGTTTGTTGACGACTGTGTTTTGTTTTCGTGCAGCGTGGATGAATTGCAGCACATGACATCGGCTCTAGCTTCGACGGCGGCCAAATTCAGGCTCAGCATCAACACGAGCAAAACTGTCTGTCTCTTTCAGCTTTCACTGGAGGTGCAATCTACAAGTGTCACGAATTAGCATTTGTGCTGAAGTACTGGAAACCACACACTTCTACCTTAGGAATGTGATTCCGACTGATTAGCAACAACACAGTGAACTTGGTATCCGCGTAACGAAGACAGTCGCGGCATTCGGGAAGCTAGAGCACCGCGTGTGGATCAAGCATCAGGTTACCGTTGGCACGAAGCTGATGGTGTACAAATTCATGGTGCTGTCCGTTCTTCTATACGGCAGCGAAACGTGGACGATATACCGGCAGGATGTGCGATATCTCGAGCGGTTCCATCAACAGCGTTTGCGACGGATTCTGCGCATTGGTTGGTGCGACTGAGTTAGAGACACAGAAGTGATGCGCCGAAGAGGAATGTATGCAGTGGACTGCATACTTTTGCTGAGACAACTTAGGTGGCTCGGTCATGTGTGGCGTTTGGACTCGACGCAGATACTGAAGCAGCTACTATATGGTCACCTGGGTCTGCGGAAGCGGCATGTGAGGAAACCGAAGCTTCGTTACCAGGACATGATCAAAGTAAGCCTATCACATTCTAATCCTGATTGCAGGTCATGGGAATCGAAGGCGGCTGATCGGCGTGAATGGTGCGATCTGATCACGAAGGTAGTTGCCGAGGTGCAGGAGAAAGCCCTCATGCATGCAGAGAAGAAGCGGCAGGCGCCGATGAGTTGTACTCCATCGACATCGAGCGCATGGTGCTGTAGTACTTGCGGCCGCGAGTGCCTGAGTCAGGTAGGCCTAGTGAGCCATGAGCGAGGTAACTCAGGGTCACCACCGAAACGACGACGAGTCCTGCTGAGAAGGTAGGCAGAACAGGCGCAACGTTTGTAGGTACGATGCATTCGATTAACTAACCGCGTGCTGGCATGCTTAGTCTCTTTATTTCAGGTGGTGGGTTTGCTATATTGCCCTAATGCTTTTTTAGCTTATATTAACCTGAAATATCTTCTATTAACTTGCACACGTCGCTGAAACTAATTGTAGTTAATATCGCTGACACTTTCGCGTGCGTGGCACTTTCTTAAAATATATTTTCTGACGTCATATACCTATCGCGGATTTGTTGGCAACCAATTTATTTCATATGCTCATTTAGCGAAGAGTTGCGCCTGAATATCTGCATGCATTATTCGACTTATTTTATTTGGCATCGTCGTCTCAAGTGATTGGCTGTTGGTTTAGATCCCCGATGGGGCTGCGCTTGATGTGCATGTTGACAAGGTGCCTACCTGTCTATTACCCACTACATCATTCATACCGGCTCTAGGAGACAGTTGGTCGTTGCTGGAGGGGAGGGGTGCACGGTAATGGTGGCCGTGCTAGGCTCGAAAAGTGATCCCATGCACCCAGTGTGGAGCGGACTACCGTCCAGCCACCGCCTTGTGTGCGATTGATTCCTAAATACAGCGTGCTTGTGTTTGCCTATGAAAGAGTGTGGGCCGGCTTCGTTGACGAAACGTGGCTCCCATCCACATGCCTCCCGGTGTTATTGCTTCGGGTTTATACTGGATATGACGTGTGGTTGGAGCTGTGGGTGGTGCAGAGCAAGTCACCCAAGTTCCCTCTGTAGGCACAGGCAGCCTGTGGCTGGCCACAGTGACATGCAAATCTGAACGCTGCCAACCATAAATATAACAGATTATGACATTATTTTCCGATGAGCACTGAAATGTAAGGAAAAGCGATTTCAATAAATATACACACCTCATCTAACTCATCTTGCCATGGAGCTAACAGTAGCCGGAGATGGGCACGTGAAAGTAGCATCACAGAAGAGTTTAAATCAGACTCCACCGGGTACAACCTCTGCTGATGTTCTCGATGCAAATCCTCTGTTGGCCCTTTAAGAAGGCCAATTCGTCCAGTGAGATAATGTCTATCGTGTAAAGCATCACGATAACAAACGCGGGTCCCACTATGGTTGTTGAAAAATGGAAAGAATCAAAATTACCCTCTCAGTTGGTTTGAATGTGGAATCGCGTCATCGATAATGTAAGGTTCAGATGTAGTGTGGGATAGGTCAATGTGTACATGTACTTCACAGTGATCCAGAAGAACAGTGATTAGTGGGGTGTTGTGGTTCACATAAGAGATGGTCCCACGCTGGTAGGCTCCTGAAATGCGATTAGTAAACATCAGGAGAACCATACCTGTGCTAGTCCGGACCAAAACACGGTGATTCAACCACGGGGTTAAATCCAAGGAACGAACGGAAGGGCGAGGTAAGTCACTACATCTTGCACTCCCGGTCGCAAAATGCATGCCGACATGAACTATGGACTAGCGACTATACTCACAAGAACGACCACGAATAAGAGGGATACACAGTGAGCAACCTTCGTCCTGCAAGGCAAAGTGAACACGCATTACATGAGACTACGTGAATAAGGTGACGAACAGCATTGTACTCAAGACAGGTTTCGTCCTTGTTTGGGCTATTCAGGTATACAGATTGCTCCGCAAGTGAAATCCGGCACACAATCCAACGGACTAGCACGTTTAAGTAGTGCACCATGAGTGTACACACGGGACGCGAGAGATTTCCGACCGTGAATCGCTCATCCAATAGCGGGCGAATGTTTCATGCAATTAAGCACTGGAACGCATTCGCTTTTTCTGCTCGCGTGCGGACAGTAATTTACCTAGGCACATTCACGCGAAGCACACACTCCCCTGCGTTCATAGAGGACAGACAAGTCAACTAACCGTGAGACTGTCTGGACAGTGAGTGAGGCGCGCACGGCCTACGACCGTTTATCTGCCTATTCTTCCTCGATGCCTAGAATGCGGCTGCGGACTCAGTAAACATCATCCCTTGACCATCGTACGTCATGATTGGACGCGTGAATCTATCTCAAGCCAGTAACGGAGTCCCACATGCAATGATGACATGACTTGGGGTTCGTTGGTGTAACACTACAAAGCGTTTGGAAGTTTAAGCCACGCGTATTCCACCGGAATATTCAACAAAAGACCAAGTGCGGACCTGAAACGGTGCCATTTGTACAAATTCATCGTATCAAAATAGACATTACCTTAATGATTTCCAAACATAAAAATATGCCAAAAATTCGCGCCCAGATCCACGAGCGACCCGTGAGTTCAGGCGTGCGAAACAAACAATGGAATCAAAGTGAGAGGCACAAAGCTTATGGTAAGAATCAAAATGAACCAAGGGTATGCGTCTGCCAATGAAGACGCGCTAAGGCCAGGTCTGATACACTAGCTGTACAAACTGTAAGCGTCACACAAATCGAGCAAATCAATGGGAACAGTCAATGTCAATGGGGGTACTTGTGCATAGGAGTGAAAAGGAGGTAGGACGTAAATGAACTAAAAATGGGACATTGAGTCACACAGTAAGGGAGTCATGGTAGGCAGTGGGAACAGAAAATGGACAAGGGGATAGGTAGACGAAGGATCCAAGCCGGGCGATGAAGCTGACTAACGTAGTAGACATTTGACAGGAGTGAGACTTGGATGGTCGCAAAATTTTTCTACAGTTGGTACATGCTACTGGCTTCTGGGTGCTCCATCCAAGTTTCGCCGGAGATCTTTGTCTTCTGATTTGGAAAGTGGCTGTATAGTGTCCCGAGTGGCTGCATCGGTTATCCGTACTATCAGCGGAAACGCAGTCCCCAACACCTGAGATCAATATCAGAATGTGAAAGGTTCATCTTGATCATGTCCTGGTAAAGTAACTTCGGTTTTCCCACGTGCCGTTTCCCTGCACGCAGTTGGCCATAAAGCAGCTGTTTCGGTATCCGGGTCGAATTCATGCGGCGAATATGCCCGAGCCACCAGAGATGCCTTAGCACAAGTATGCAGCCCACTGTATACAAGCCAATGTGTCGCAGCACCTCCGTGTCTGCAACTCCGTCACCCCAGTCAATGTGCATAATATGACGCACACACAGTTGATGGAAGCGCTCCAGATAACGGACATCTTTAGGATAAACCGTGTAGGTTTCGCTGCCGTAGAGAAGAACGGACAGCGTAGACTTGCATACCAGCAGCTTCGTCCCGACTGTGAGCTGGTGGTTGTTCCGCACACGACATTCCAGGCTGCCAAATGCAGCAGCCCCTTCCATACGCTGCTGCGTACCTCGCTCGGTATCTTAAGGTAGTTATTATGCCTCCAAGGTAACAAAAGCTTGGAGTGGTTGCCAACACAATCGGCAACCAGGATTTGGGGCAGGCCCGCGAATTCCATTCCTGGTGAAGGCTGGAAAAGACAAACAGTCTTGCTAGTGTTGATATTGAGCCTGAGTTTGGCCGCCGTCGAAGCTAGAGCCGATGTCATGTGCTGCAATTCATCCACGCTGCACGAAAACAAAACACAGTCGTCAACAAACTGCAACATATGGATAATTGTTTCACACACTCGGGTTTTCGCCCAGAAAGGACAGATGTTCAGCAACCCACCATCAATACAACGTTCTACACGGACACGGTAATCACAAACAGTATCAAAAGTACAAGACATCTGCATGAAGGTAAATATTAAACAGAGCAGGAGCTAAGACACAACCTTGCTTCACACCAGAGACAACTGGAAAGTCATCCGTGGTCTCTCCATTCAGCTGCACCTTCGCCCGCAGACATTCGCTTGCAGACATTTAATTACAAATTTACTCGGACAACAAAACATACTCAACATCAGCCACAATGCCTCGCGGTTCGCCATACCAAATGTCTTAGTGAAGTCAGCAAACAATGAGTACAACGGCTGGTGTGGTTCTCTGCACTTCTCCTGCAACTGACAAACCACAAACACCATATCGATGATGCTGCGATTTGAACGGAATCCACATTGCTTTCCCGCCACGTGCGGTTCAACGACCTGAGGGACGGGGTGGTTGAGCAAGATTCGGGCGATCACTTTCCCCACACAACTCAGCAAGTTGATACCACAGTAATTCGTACATTGCTTGCTTCCTTTGCCCTTGCACAAAGGCATCCTTCAGGTAGGCCGGCACTTTCTCTTCAATACACACCCGTTGCACCAATTGGTGCAGCGCAGCTACCAACGCGGGTCCGCCATGTTTCAATACATCAGGCCGGATCCCGTCGGCACCGGCGCACTTGTCGTTTCGCAGCTGATAAAGTGCTCTCTGCGTCTCACCCAGTTTTGGCATCTCCGCCAGACTCGCCTTCACTTCATGCTTCTTCAGGCTGTTCAGTGCAGGCCAGTCGATCTCTGAACGGTTGTTTAGGAGACCATCAAATTGTTATGTCTACAGTTTGTGTGCAGTCAGAGACTGAACTACCACCGAGCAGCGTCCTCAGCGGCTCTAACCTCGGTCCATACATCGCCTTCAAGAATTCCTTGAGTTAGCGGCGTTAGACGTAGCATTCCATCTGCTTCCCCTTCTCCGTTCATGTATTCGACAGAGCTGTCGAGTCAGCCGCCGTCGAATTTTGCGTAGCTGACTCTTCTTCCCCAAGTCACTGGGGTCTGTCACATGTGCAGCAAATGTTGCATTCTTCTCCGATACCAATGCGCCAATCGTCGCATTGTCCTCATCAAAACATTCGGATCGCTTACATTTTGCGTGCCCGATGGTCTCCTCGGCAGTAGCTGTCACTTACTCGCGAATATGGTGCCACAAGTCGCCCAATGTGCCTATGCACTCCACGTCACACCGGCGGGCAGCCGTCGCCTTCTCCAGCTCAGTACGTTTCGCCACAGTACCGAGCGAGTGAATGATAAATCTACGCCTCCAGCTTACGACAGGAATGTAATACATAGATTTACGAAAATATATGTACAGTTGGTTCCGCACCAAATTGTGGTCAGTGACACACTGAGCTCCACGCAGTACACGTATTATGCGCATCTCACGCTGACGTACGATGACACAGTCGAGCAGGTGATCGTGACCATTCCGTGAGTATGTCCAAGTTGGTATATCACTCTCACTCAGTGCAAACCGAGTGTTCGTGATCGTCAGGCCGTGAGTGGCACACAGTGAGAGCAGCCTGTCACTGTTCGCATTCGCTGAACTAATGTCATGCGGACTGATGACATCTGTCCACACAGATGCATCACGCCCAACGCACGCTTTGAAATCACCCAGCAGATATAGTCGGTCGCTCCTCGACACAGCAGTATAACGGTGGATACCTGAGTGTAAAATTGATTACACGTGGCAACGAGACAAGACATGGTCGGACCGTACGTGCTTATAAAAGTGGCGAACTTACCATCTCTGAGTCGTAGGCAAACAGTCATCAGTATCACGCTGAAGCCAGTAAACTTGCAAGCCGGCTGATCATTTAGGCGACTGGATATTGCAGATCCGACCGCATGTTCACGTGATGCTGAGGTGGCGTTTCCCACCTAGTAGTACGTATAGCCAGCACCGGCTTCATGCAACTTACCTTGCTCAGCGAAGCGTGTCTCGCAGAGCACGGCAGTGTCGATGTTGTAGCGTACCAGTTCCATCGCGAGCAGTGCAGTGCGTCGCTCAGGGCACTCAGTCGAGTTTCGGTGCAATAGTGTGCGCACGTTCCAGCACCAGATGTTCAGTGCTTTGTGTGCAAGCATACGATAGCGTGGGCGGACAATCATATGGTTGGTGACGACCTGGATTGGAGGAAGTAGTGGGTTGGATTAAATGGGGTCGGAGAGAGTCTGTGCAGGGGAAGAAGATAGAAGGGAGGGGCCAGCAGTAGCATGTTTTTGCTTATCTACCCCGCTGTATGCAGCAGATAAGACGACGCTTTTCCTAAGGCCACGGCGGGATGTCCGATGAAACATGCATATATATATATATATATATATATATATATATATATATATATATATATATATATATATATATAGGCATGAAGAAATAGACATAGTCAGGCTGGTATGTGCGGTTTTCGTGGATGGGGGTCTTGGGATGGTTTACGTCAGTAGTTGGAGGTTCTGTCAGATGGTGCACTCACGTTGCTCGTAACTTTCCTGCATTCGGTTTCTTGCATCCAGCTGGTGACTTTCATTCCAGCTTGATTAGCTTAACGCACATTTTTGTGATCCCATTTTTTGCATTCCATTTGCATGCAAGCTCATTTTCTTCCTGTTCACGTTTGTGGTTTTCCTGTTGACGTGAGTCATGTCAACAGGAACTACTGCACTTCAAGGCCGGATATTATTTGTTCAGCTGAACGTTGTTCCTCCTAAACAAAGCAAGAACAAGTTGGATCTTCTTATGGTAGGAAGTCCAACGCTAAGGATCTACATGCAAAGAGGCGGTTAGCGGATGGACTGCTACATGGCAGGTTTACTGAACGGCGATCTAAGACGGTCCATTTAAGGCCATTGTTTCACTAATCGAGGCCATTTGCGATGCGAAATACC